GGGCCTCCCTCGCGGCGCCGCGCTGGTGCTTCCGGCCGGCCCCGGAGCGCCGGGCCCTCGGACGGGGCCGGCCCTGTGGCGCGCAGGCAGCGCTGGGGTGGGCGCTTCGCGGGAGGCCCCGGGGGTCGCGGCTGTCCCTCCGCGGCGGCGCGCGGCTGCCCTGCGCCTCCGGCCCCCTCGCTGCCGCCCCGGGCCCTCCGCTCTCCCCGGCGGCCTCCCGCAGCCGGCCCCGGGCGTCGCTGCACCGCCGCGCCTCCTCCCGGCGCAGCCCGTGGCGATCCCGGCTGGTGCTCGGGCTCGTCTCCGCGGGGGGCCCGGGCGCCCCTCCAGTTCGCCGCTGGACCGCTCGGCCCGCCCGAGCAGTCGGGCACCGCCGTGCAGCAGCCTTGGGAGAGGCGGCCTCAGCAGCACTTGGGGGAAGCTGCCCGACGTCCTCCTGGGCTCTCTGAAGCTTAGATTCCCGTTAAGAAAGAACTCGCGCTTGCTGAAGCCGCCTCCATAATCCTCTTTTGGGCCATCACACTCTTTCCCTCCAGGATGCCAAGACCTTTCCCTCCATGCTTGCCCCATCTTCTTTAAAAATGCAAATATTTATGCAAACCCTGTATTATTGTATTGCTGATTGAGCACAGTTATGAATGACAGCAGGAACCCAGGGGTTGCTCTGGGAAAACTGGGGCAGAGTTTGGGTTGGGGTTGCCTGCTGGAGGAGTCCATTGTCTCCCTGGGCTACAGGTAACCTGATCACACCTTTTGAAGTACTTGAGGTCTGTCAGACTCAGCCTGTCAAGTGATTCAAAAACCCAGAGAATTTCAAACCCCAATTTTGCAACAGGATTTTCAGATTTTGGGGGAGGGGGGGGGCTCATGTCTCCTAAGGGTTCCCTACAGTTTGCACCTGTGCCCTGTGTACTACTTTCTCAGGAACAGGAAGGTAGCAGGAATTCTTGGGTGGGGATGGGCTTTATTGCTTCCAGTAACAGTTTAAAGACTCTTGTGTTGGGTTGTGTTGTGCCATGCAGGCCTACTCATTGACTGCTCCTTGTGCAAGCTTATGTTGCTTTTTGTTTTCCTTCTTTGGACAAGAGTCCCATTTTCTGAAGAAAGCTGCCTTTCCTCCTATAGCTTCCTTGACCTTGCTTCCATTAGTGAGAATTGGTTGGGAGGATATTCGTGTGGTAACTGACAGACTCATTCTGGGATTTTGATGTTGGTAGGGCTGCACTCTATTCTGTGTTTATCTCATTCATTAATGGAGAATTTGCATGAGGTGGTCCAAGCCTCAATCAGACACCTACTTTTTGCCTTTCCAGTGCCATCGTGCGATACAGTTTAAAGGCAGCACTAATGTGTTAAAGAAAAAAAATGTGCATGTCTGAATATTACAAGAAGATAGACGCAGTGTTCAGGCTAGTTGTCTGTTCGTCACAGCACCAGCTTCTGCTGCTCACCCCAGCTGTGTACTGATCCACACAGAAACAGCAGTTGCCCCAGGTTTCACTGGAGGGCCCAGAATAATTAAGCATTTAGGTAGAGGAAACAAGGAAAGCCTCCAGTCTCACTCTTGCTCTCTCTTGCTTTCTCTGTTGCATGTGGAAGTCGTTGCCCATCCAGGAGGCGCCGTGGAATTTGACTCAGTGGCTGGATTCATATTTCGCATAAGAGAAGGTGTGCCCCATCTGTGAGCCATGTGACTCGTTCCGCTAAAATCCTTGCAGAGCTTGTGGGTATCCCCTAGACGTCCACTGGTTTGCCTTCTCACGACCCCTCCCCATGCATGTAATAAGAGTGCATCCCATGCTCCCCGTTATGAAGAAGTGTAGTAGACAGAATCACTTTATGTCCTGCAGAAGGTGAGCCCCTTTGCCCGGCACAGTCGGAAGTGTGCAGCTCTTCCAAGCGGGTCTGGCAACAGACCGGCCAAACAAACTCTCTGCTCAAGAGGCCCCCTTTGCAATGCTGCTCTGTCACTGGCAGTGCTTGACTTTTTGTACTGAAAGTGGAAGATGAGGATTGTGCTGTGGGCGAGTTTTGTTTTTTAAATAGTCCAGAGAGAGATTGGAAGGAGGCAAATGGTGTTCCTTGTCTAATTACCATTTTCCGCTTCTGGTGAGGTAAACAAGCTGGTTAACAAGAACACAGAAGTTTTCGGGGCTTTTTCATGACATCACTATTCCCATGTCTTCCAGCTCTTTCTGCAGGCATTTTGGTTTTTTGTTTTGTTTTGTTTTGTTTTGAGAACAAGGAAAGTCTGGTATTAAATTTTCAACAGCAGCATGCCAGAGCACCGGCCTGGAGCACTGCTGCAAATCCTCTGCCACAGTGCCACCTTGTGGCTGGTTAATGGAATATGCAGAAAAGCCGAAAAGAAAATGTCTGAAGTACAGGATGTACTGTATTTTGCTGACTGTAAGATGCCCCCATGTATAGGACGCCCCCCCCACTTTTTTACCGATCTCCGAGCGAGCTGCTGCTGCGCGCATGCACCAGTCTCCCCGCTGCACGCCCGCCTCCCCCCGATTGCGCCGCAATCACGCCAGTGTCCCTCCCCAGCGTGCCCGTGGTTCTTGGCCCCCCGTGTACAAGACCCCCCCTCCATTTTTATGGAAATATTTTTAAGAAAAAGCATCGTCTTGTACACAGAAAAATATGGTATTTTTCCTCACAGGAAAAGCCAAAGCCATTACAACCTGATGAAAAGAAAGGTTGATGAGGGGCCACTTTGTCCTGACATGCCCTGCCCGCCCGCCCACCCCTAACGGATGGCAACCCCATGAATGAGGGCCGTCTGGGCTCCCCCTTCCAGAACTCTTGCCGAGCTAAGGGTTAATGGTGTTGAAATACAAATGCTGTAATGAATACATTGTTACAGCCAAAGTGCAGATTCTGTTTTCCACAATACATTGTGTTCAAAACACTTACAAAACAACTACAGTGGCCATAATTATGTGTTACAGTTCAGCATTCGCTCAATTACAATTCATTTAAAACGGCAGACATTTAGGTATGCACAAACTGCCGCAGGGGCCAGTTAGTGGCGTCACCTGCTTGCACTGGACGGCTCGTGTTAAGGGGCCTGGCAGCGTGACAGCCTGCCCACATCGGACCGACAGCCAGTCAGGCACAGGAGGACACGCAGCGCCTGGGTGGGCAGCCTTGCGGTCCCGTTTCCTGAGCCAAGGAGGGCCCCCAGAAGAGCATCTCTCCTCCTGGCTGTCGTGTGGCAGCAGGGCAGCCGGAGAGGGGCAAGGCAGAAAGGCTTCTCCCTGGGCCCCCAGGGTGCCCCAAAGTCCGAGCAAGCACAGTCTGCGCTTTCAAAAATAACCACCACTCTGGGCAGTTAGAAACTGTAAAGCACACATACAAACCACACAACCACATTAGCAACTGCCGTTGAAGCAGCTCAGAAGCAGAGCGGCGGCACAGAACGAAAAATGCCGTTAAAAAGTCCAAGGGTGAAAATGGTGGGGGAATGGAATGGCCTCGCCCTGGCACTGGAAATGCACCAAGTGGGCCCCAGGCGCAGCTCTGCACAGAGCTCGTCCCACGGCAGATGGCAGACGCCCTGCGCTGAGACAGCCCACGTGGATCCCCGTTGTGTCCGTCACGACTCCCTTGAAATGGCTGTGACACTGGACTGAGCCTCACGGCCCGCAGAGCGGGCCGCTTCCTTTCCACGCTGCAGTGCCCACCCCGGCTTTCAAGGGCCCCTGCACGGGAGCCCCTCGCTGGGCCTCCCCGCCAGCACCCGCGGTGGTGCTCTTGTTCCCGCCCTTCCCGCCACGGGTGCCGTCTGCCTGCCCGACAGCCCTGGAGCGGCGATGGCGACAGCCCGAGCAGCATCGGAGCACGGGGCCACCCAGCCCCGGCGAGCCTCCGTCTCCCATCTCGAGGGGCTGCGATACCTTTTCCCGTTGGTGGCTGCGTATCCTCTTCCCTGGACAGAAGCCCGAAACGCAGGTGTGGGACACCTGTGTGAGGGGCCGTGGCACCGGGGCTGGTCCAAGCAGGAGGGAAGGAAGCCGCACAGGGCTGGTGCCGTCACTTCCGGTGCCTGGGGCCAGTGAGCAGAGCAGTTTCATGGGCCCCTCACAACTCCAGCGAGCCCGTGGGCCGGCTGGCTGCAGGTGCCGCTCTGGGTGCCAAAGCCCGTGGGCGCGGCTGTTGGCCTCGGGCCGAGACAACCGCCAGAGGACGATTCTCAGTGCCGTGTCTGGCATTCCTGCTGCAGGCAGAGCAATGCAACGGCTTCTTGAAATTATCGCGCGCAGCTGTACTCGGGAGGCAGCAGGCCCATTTCAGGGCGCCTAAGAATGGCCGTGGTTCCACAAAGACTAGAGAAGCAGTCTCCTTTCTCTCTAGGTGCTTTATTTGGCTTTGCCGGAGGACAGAAGAGAGCCGGGCTGGGCACAGAGTGGGCAGGCAGTGCTTAGTCGCCTTGGACTGAGGGCTGTGAAGGTGCTGCGGGGATGGGGGAGTGGCTTGGAGGGCAGACGCCTCAGCCACGTCCTCCCCCCCACACTAGGGGGTTCCTCCCCCTCCCTCTGGTACTGGATTAATACCACAGCAGTGACACATCAGACTCTAGCGTGAACTGGGCTGTTCTAAGTAAGGGCGAAGGGAAGGACTCCGCATGCGCAGCTCCCGATCAGAGACCTGCGGCTGGGCAGACGGGAGAGGAGGAGGGGGCGGCTCTACAGTTCTTCTGTTTCGCCCGCCAGTGGCACGTTCACCTCGATGCTGTACTCGTTGGGTTCGCCTGACCCCTGCCAGGGCACTGGGGTCCTGTTGAAAGAGGGTCTGTTGGTGATTTCTTGACTGAACACAATGAGCGGCTCAGGTAGCAAAGGGCCGGCGTCAAACTCGGGCATCTGGAAGGTCATCAGCTTGGCTGCTTTCTCATATCCCCCGTAAGGCACTGCAGTCCTAGGAAAAGCAGAGTCACCCATCAAGGCTCCAGGAATGACCTGGGATGGCTGTCCAGGCAGTTCCCGGGCGGCAACACCTGGCTGTGCCTGCAGCTCCGATTCGGCCAGGCGTCCTGGCGTAACGCTAATACAGAAAGTGCCGCTTTTATTTCCCATCCATCTGTGTAAAATAAATGTCTGGCCCAGAGCTGAACAGGGCCCAGCTTTTTGGACATGCGCGGCCCACAGTGGAGACACTGCAGGAAGAGAGAGGCTTCAAATCCACAGCTTTGGAGAACAAAAGTGCACCACTCCAAAACAGAGGGGCCCAACTCAAGAAATTTGCAAACAGAAAATACGCTCGTTCAGGTAAGGTTCACACATGTCATCCCAAAGTATTAAATTACCTAGAAAACAGAAAATCATCATCATGCTATATGGCAGCATAATTCATAGATGGTGTAGAACCAAATGCTAGATAAGATAAACATCATGCAGATGTTATTTCCTACTCCCAGCCCCTGAGATCCAGCACCAGGACAAATCACGACACAGTCTACCTCACAATTAACCTATTCCACATCCACCAGTCAGCCAATATTTTCCCTTACCTGTTAAAAGATTTGTAATGACAGAGTTCTGGTCTGGTGCCGTAAGACAAGAGGTCAAGTTTGAATTCACTTTTCTCTTGCGGGGTGAGGCCCAGAGCTCTTTCCCAGGGAGAGATATAGGTCTTGAAAATGGAGACGTGCTTCCCACTCCCACCTTTGCTATCGCCTGCAGTGCAGAGGAAGAGAAGACAACTGAGACCCCTGAGATGCACTCGCTGAAGCAAGCCCTGGGAGGCAGGGAGGCAGGGCCCGGCACAGGCCACGGAGAGCGGGCCCCAGGGGCACTCCCGGTTCTGCGCCAGCCACATGCTCTGCGCTGATGCCTATAACGCAAGCACGCTTCATTCTGTGTGCCACATCGCATGCATTCGTCTCTTTATACTGCAGAATATTTAAGCAAAGACCAGGCAGACCGGAGAATAACAAGCCAAACGAATAAGCAAAAAGGAAAAGGGGGAAGAAGCAGCACAGATCAAGGAGAGGTGCCTGCAAAAAAGCTTTGCAACTCCACAATTATTTCAAAACACCTTTTGACACCAGAGCCTTCAACAAACCCATGAAAAACTGAATTTATTGATTTTTGTCGTTTATTCATACCTTTTTATCAAGAAAAATGATATTCAAGGTGGCATATCATCACAAATAAAACTTGATTATCAACAATGATAAGACAGGTGCATAACACAATTAAAAAAACAGCAATAGAAAAATGAAACAACCTCAAACTCAACAAACTTAAACTACTCCTATGCCAAACCGCTGGCTGAACGGGAAGGCATTTGCCTCCCGGCAGGAGTCCAACAGGGTGGCAGCGAACCTGCCTCACCCGGGAGGGGGCTCCACAGGCTGGGCAGAGGGCGAGGTGGCCATCAAGGCCCGGGCAGGGTTGGGGGAGGGCATCGTCATGGACCCTCCCCTCAGCCAAGCCACAGCCAGCACTCTGCGTCTGCCCAGGAGCTGGCAGGCTGTTGCAAGAAGGCAGCCGTGGTCCAGTTAACCATCTGGCCACAGCATTCTGGGCCAGCTGAAGTTTCTGAATGGTTTTCAAAGGCACCCAGCAGAGTCCCAAGGCAGCAGGACCGGGGCTGGACGAGGCCTCGCTAGGAACGGGCGCCACGGGCACTCCAGCCTTGCCTGTGCGAATGCTCTCCTGGCCACTGCTGGAGCTGGTGCACGGAGGGTCAGCGGAGGGTCCCCCCCGCAAGCGTCCGTCTTCAGGGCAGCTAAAACCCACCCGGGACACACTGAACGGCCTTCTGCTGAAAGCCACAGCTGGACTGCCTGAGAAATGGAGCGGCCCCTTTTTCAGAGAATGTGGCTCCCAGTCATCTCGTTTCCTGCAGGTTCACTAAGAAAGCCCATGGACCAGGGTTCTAAGCATTGGTTCTGTCCTCCAGAGTTTCCCCATGCGGGGGGGGGGCACAGGCACCACATGCCTGGGGGCCCAAGAGGCCTGCCAGTGGTCCCGGGGGGCGTGTGTGGCTGAGCCGATGGTCTTTCCCTTGCCTGTTGCACAGCTCAGTGGGAGGTCCTCCCCCTGCTCTCAAGCAAGGAGGCGGAAGTGTCGCACTAACCTATCCTGGTATGCCTGGTGTGTTGGCCCTCATCCCTTCACCTCTGAACGCGCCCCCTGCGAGCAAGTAGCCTCGGGGGCTTCTGCATGACCGGATGCCGCTCCGGCTGGACATCAGGAAGAGCCTCCTCACAGCCAGAGCGGTCCGGCAACGGCACCCATGGCCTGGGGAGGCGCTGGGCTCTGCCACACCGGAGGCGTCCAAGGGGCAGCCGGGCAGCCACCTGGCAGGGCTGCCTGGCCCGGGAGTGCTGCGCTGAGCAGCGGACGGCAGCTCACAGGCCCTTCCCGACTCTGTCATCCCGTGCTCCTAGGCGAGTGGTGCCTCAGGCCGTGAAACCGTGCTTGCCCAAGCCAGGCAGCCAAACCACCGATGCCCGAAAGCAGGCGCAGGCATCCAGACCCGAACGGAGGTCTCGCCACGCTCAGGGCCTGGACTGCTTCTTGCTGCGTGGGCCACCTGCCTGCCTCCGAGGAGGACAGTCTGGGTGCCAGTGCCTCTGTGCACAGAGCCTTTCTCTGGGGAGCCGAACGCGCGGGGCGGGGTACTTGCCTTTCCCGCCAGTGCCGTCGCTTCCTCCACCATCCACTCTGCCCCCAGGACTGGCAGATCCCTCGGTGTGGCCCGCTCCAACTCCAGCTCCAGCTCCAGCTCCAGCTCCACCGGCTCCACCAGCCCCACCTTTGCTCCCAGGCTTGGGAGGAGGAGCGGGAGGATGCTGCAGCTTGTGCGACCCATACGGTCCGGCCGCAACTCCGCTCACCATCCTCGCACCGCTGCGTGAGTAACCGTACGAATCAACTCCATAGTGTCCTCCAACCGATGGGATGAACCTCTGAAAATTATCCTGAGGCGAGTGGGTGGGGGGAGAAAGCCGGGGGGGGGGGAATGAAATACTTCTGAGGGCACGAATTCACACCCCTCTTTTCACCCACCAAAAGTCTTCCTGCACAGCCACCTGCCAGAGCGTGGCCGGCTCCTCATATCTGGCTCAGTGGTCCAGCCCTGCGGCCAAGGCATCCTCGCCACCCGCGACGGCCCCTCCCTCTCCGGCTGCCCAGCGCTCCAGACCGCGCAGGAGCGCCCCGAGGGACCGGCCCGGCCAGGTCTCCAGGCGCCCAGGCGGCTGCGCTGTGCCTGCCGGTTCGGGAAGAGCACGTGGACGCCGGCACTGAGCCAGCCCTCGGCTCTCCATTAGCAAAAGCGGAGCAAACCAGCACAGAGCGCTGCCTGAGCCCGGAAGGCCCTCCGTCTGCAGCCGCGCCCCGCCGGCGTGCCGGGGAGGCCGGCGCGGGCAGCGGCACCGCGCATCCCCGCAGCTCCTGGCAGCGGCGCGGCCCGCAGCACGCAGGGCGCCGCAGGGCCAGGGCAGCCGGGCCCCGGGGAGCCAGCTCGGCGCGGGCGCCTTGGAGTGCTGGGGCGCTCCGGGGCACGTCGTCCAGCGGGCGCCGCTCTGGGAGAGGCCCGAGGGCGCCCGAGCGAGCGGCGCGCGTCCTCCCCGTCGGAGCCCCGGGCAGCGCGCGGAGCCAGCTGGCCGGCGCTTCCCTCCGCGCACGGGGCGCCGCGGCCCTTCGAGCGCGCCTCCCGCTGCCTCCGCCCAAGCGGGGCTCCTTGGCTGCCGGGCTCCGCGGGGGCGCTGCGGAGCGGGCCTCGCCGCCGTCGGCCCAGCCCGAGGCGACGCCTTCTGCGCTCTCGGAGAGCGGGCGGCCGGCCAGCGGGTGTGGGGGGGAGGCGCGGCGCCGGCCGGGCTGCGGCTGCGGCTGCTGGGAAGGGCGCAGAGCAGCCCGGCGCGCACGGGGAGCGACCGGCTCGGCCTACTGCGCGCCCACGGGCGGCCTGGGGCCCCTTGCACCGCTGTCCGCTTCCGGGCCCGCAACGCGCCGAGCGCAGGGCCGCCGCTTCTTCCGGACGAGCGGGCGCTGCTCTGGGGCGTCGCGGGTCCCGGGAGCGCCGCTCGCCTGGGGCGCTGCGCCTGCCCTCGGGGGCCCGTCGCGGTTTGCAGAAACGGGCTGGCCGCGGGCCTTGAATGGGGCGCAGTGGGGGCGGGGCCCTGAGGAAAAGCCGTGGCGGTGCTGGCCGCGCCTGGGGTGAGGCGAGGGGGTGGCCGCACTGCAGTGCAGCCCCGAGGCCCCCCTGCGCACGTGCTCGGAAATGGCGCCAGGGCCAGCGGGGGCCTTCCCTGCATGGAGCAGCGCCGGGCAAGTCGAGGCTCGGCAGAGGTAGAAAGACGCCGAGGTCAGCGTGCCCGCCTGGCGATTCCGGCAGCCCCGATGAGCCGGCCGGGGTGTGGGCAGGACCGGTGCTGCGGCATGGGCGGGCGGGCAATTCCCTGCCCTCGGAGAGCCCCTTTCCCACGCCAGCCCTCGCGCTTGTAGCCATGATGCTGTGCCATGCCCCTGCGGGCGAGTGGCACTCCTGGCTCCCCTCCCCATTCTGTCCCTGCAGCTGCCCGGCTGGCTGAGAAGGGGCACCCGCCCTGGAGCCGCACAGGGAGCCCTGTGGCTGAGCGGGGCCTGCCCCCCTCCCCAGGCAGCCTGGGATTGCAGGGAGCTTGGAAGTGGCGCCTGGAGAGGCGAGCGCCAGGGGGCCTCCTGTGTCCCCGCAGCAGCCCTCCGACCGGTCAGCCGCTTGCCCCTTCTATGTGTGTCGGCACCTGCCCACAAAGGGCCACGCTCGCCTCAGCCACCCTGCCAGGCCGGCTGCCCCTGTTGCCTCCCACGGGTCGCATCCCACAGACATGGTGCAGGTGTTCAGGCAGGTGGTGCGCGCAGAGCCCACAGTAAGCTGTGCTCAGCCAAGCGGGCGAGCACAGGCCTGCAGCGTCCACGAGCCCCCGCTGGGCCACTGCTGCTTCCCCTGGGAGCTTGGGGCGCCCAGAACGTCGCTCCCAGGAGCTCCAGCCCTTTGCCCGCCTGGACACCTAGTGCGTTTCGACAGTGTGAAGCCTCCCAGGCTGTCAACAGGCTCCCAAGGGCAGCTGTTCAGCAGCTAAATATAGGTGAGAAGAAGTGGCAAGTGCACCAGGTGGAGCGCAGAATGATCCGCCCCTCAGGGCATCCAGTCTGCAGAGCCGTGAGCAGAGCAGAGCCAGGTGAACTGACCCGGCTCCAGGGCGTCTTCCCCGCTCACACACACTTCCCATATTAGCAGCAACGAGGATGAGCTTTCCTTGGAGGTTAGGGAATGCAGAGGGCCAAGGAGAGCCCTGCAGGAAGGCTGAGTCACTCGCCCCCCCCCCCCCCAGCAGCAGCATGGGCTCTCCTGGCACAGAGCAGGGAAGCCAGGAGTGGCCACCACAGAACCGGAGAGGAGCTGCTTTGCAGGTGCGCACAGAATTCGTCCTGCAGGGAGAACACGCCACACCGCTCTCTGCACCTGCAGGTGGACAGCCCACTCCCCCCCAGCGCTGCGTTGCAACAAACGGCTCGCAGGTGTGCGGCTTCCAGCTCCCAAAGTCCAGAATGCTCTCCCAGGCAGATCCGTTTCCTGACCCGCCGGGCAGCCCTCCCTGTAATGGCCCCGTTGCAGGTTGGGGGTCCGCAGTCACTGACTGCCTCTGCGCAAGCGCCCGGCCTCTGGCGACGAGCCCCAGCCCCACGTGACCAGCGGGGCTTCCCCAAGGACGGTGACACGCGTGAAGCCACAGGCGACGGTCGTGTGCAGAGTGCTGGCAGCCTCTCATGTTGTTTGGGCGCATTTGGGAGAGATGCTGTGTGTGTTGCAGCTGCTGCCGCTGGAGACTGCAGGGTGCTGCCGCCTGCTCCTATTTCTGGGGCCGCCTCGGCCGCCAAGGGGCAAAAGGGGAAGTGGGCGGCTCGGGGGACGCCCCCTCCTCCAGGAGCTGCTCTGGCTCTGCTCCCCGTTGCATCGCTCGCACGGCAGCGCAGACGGAAGGCGCCGAGCGCTCTGCACCGCAGGGCTGGAGGCGGCGTGGAGGCCACCTCCCCTGCAGAAGCAAGTTGAAAGCACGCCTGGCCAGCGGCCGCCCCGCCTGCCTCTGTCCGGATACCTCCGGCAGCGGAGAGCCGCTCCCTGGGCGCTCCTTCCCGCATCTGACCTCGCCTGCCTTCATGGGTCCTTCCGTGCTGCTCAGCCCAGGACCTGCGCTGGATCGTGAGCCCCTTCTCACGTCCTGCAGTCCTGGTGGCGGAGAGCCAGCCGCAGCCTCTTCTGGGTGGCGGCCCCTCAGGAGCCTGGCACGGACTTGGCCTTCTCTTCCCAAGGCTCAACAGGCCCAGTTCCTTCACCCTTTCCCCAGAATTTTCAGCTCCTGACCCCTGGCCATGGCTGCTCTCCGTCTCTGAGCCCCTCCTGGCTTCTTGGAATGCCCCTCAAAGGCCTGCTGCCCAGACAGACCCCGGCGCTGCGGTGGGGTCAGACCAGAGCGGAGCGACGGGGCCGCCGCTTGCTGCGCTGTCCCGCACACGGATCCCGGTGACCAGGCGGGGAAGGCTGCTTGGCCTCCTGCCCACCGGAACACAGCAGACCCGAAGGGGACCGGGGGAAAGAGGTGATCGAGCAACCGGCAATGTCCCAGTGAACTGCCTCCTGAGCCACTCCTGCAAGGGGGCAGGCTCCCCACTGGTTTAAGGAGCAGTCCATGGAGGTTGCTGAAGGGTGGCTATGGGGGGTGCGCGCGTGGGGCGCGGCTGTGCGACGGAGCCACCCGCGGACTCCCCGAGGGCCTCTGGCTGCTGTCGGGACAGAATGGTGGGCTGGATGGTCCTCTGCCGGCCCAGCACAGCCGCTGTGGCCTCGGGTCCCCGTGCTTAGTGGCCGTGGGGAGTCCGGCATAGCTGGGGGCTGTTGGTCCGGCAGAAGAGGCTTGACGAGCGCCCTCCTTGTTCCGCTTCTGGGCCTGCAGCATCCCAGCTGCCCCCCTGCCTCAGGGAGGCTCGAGGGAGCCTGTCGGACCTTCCTCCGACCGACCGCGGCAGGGGACTGAAGCCAGGAGCTGCAGTCCTGCGCCTGGCGCAGATGTTCAAAGACTCGGCAGAAGCGGGAAGTCCCACTGCCGCCAGGGCCACCGAGCCAAAGAGGCACATAGGCCGACCTCGCAACGCTCTGCGCTGCCACATGGTGCCGGCCGAAGGGCAGGGCTGAGCTGCCCTGTGGCTCCGGACGAACGGGAGTGAATGCTCGGGGCGTTCCTGCCAGGCAAGCACTTGGCCTGCAGCAGAAGGCGGGCGGCTGGAGCAGCTGAGACGTGGCTGCGGCAAAGGTCAGAGCGAGGCTGAGCCTGCTCGCTCTCCGCTATTAAAGGGAGCTGTCCTGGCTTCATCCGCAGCTGCTGACCCAGGAGATATTTCGAAGCGCAGATTCTTCGCTGGAATAATTGCTGCCTTTCCATGCTGGCCTTCAGAGGCTTTGCCATGGGCCTTCAGAGGGTATTCCAGACGCTAGCAAAGCTCCGTTCTCCTGCAGGTGGATGTGCCACGTCCTCTCCGCTTTCTGGGAGGATAACGCACAGGCGCTTCTGCGTGCCATCTGCACCGGTGTCTGCGGCGCTTCCATGCCCGCTCCCGGAGGTGGCACACTTGGAGGCAGCATCACTCTTTGCACCCCTCCCTTGCCACCTTTGCCGTAGAAGCCCTCTTCATCACTACCTGTCTTTAGCCCATCTTCCAGGTGGTGCCCAAGCAGTTTTCCAGTCTTTCTGAATGTGTGCGTGTTTAGAACAATGAAGTGCCACAGAAAGGAAAGAGCATTTTCATGGCACAGAAAACCTTGGTGCTAGAAATAACAGGGGAAGGCAGACCTGCTGTTTTAGCCACAGGGTCAATCGAAAGCTGTTAACAAAAATAAATTTGCTTTATAGGGTTATAGTACATTTAAAAGCAGCATTTTGTGGCAGGCAGCACTCTACCACGATCAGACAATCTCAAAACATTCAAAAACCTCCCCACACCTTTGCCAAACTGGCAGTGCATGGGGGGTGGCTGTGGGGGGCACCTCATTTTAGCACTGCGGCCTCCTCACTTGAGTGGTCTGCTGCCTTCTACTACCAACCTCCTTGGGCTTCTCCTCTCGGCTGGCTGCCCCCCCCCGGGGGGGGGGGGAGTTTTGAAACTCTTGCGTGCACCACAGAGAATCCGCCTCTGGATTTTTGTCTTCTGCCCCATCAAGCCTAGTTCGTCTTCGCTCTTTTTTCTTTTCTTTTTCTTCCGGTGCTTCTCCTTTTGGAGATGTTCTTCTCCTTCCCCAAGCAGAAGCCGCTTTTTCTTTCTTTTCTGGCAGCAGCCTCCCTCCGGTTGGGCAGGCACCCTCGGGGGTGGGCGCCGCCTTCGCACGGGGCAGGCACGGCCAGTCACTGCTCCCCAGCGCCTGCTTGCCAGAGCGTCCCAGGTCTGAGCGCAGAGGCGCGCGCGGCTTGTCGCAACCCACATCCGGCACCGGGCCGGTTTCTCGCAGATCCAGGGGCTGCTGCTCGAGGCGCTTCCCTTGCATCGCCCGGCCCTTCTAGTTCGGCAGCTCTGAGCCGAACGTGGCGTGCGAGCAAGAGGAGTCGTGCGCCCGCCTGTTCTTTCTGCACGGCTCATCCTCGTGCGCAGAGCTGCCCTGCTCCCTCTGATTCTGCTCTCCAAAACTCCAGGCCTTCCGCGTTGTAATTCTCGGCCAGAAAGAGGAGCAGAGGCGCCTTTCCAGGGCCAGGGCACATGCGGGAAAGGCATCGGGCCACCTCTCCTGCTGCAGCGGCTCGTGTGAGCATGGCAAGTGTCCCGTGAAGCCCTGCCTGTGGATGCGGCCGCAGGAGGGCACGAAGGGCTGCGGCGAGGCTCTCTCAGGCGCCCCCCTACGCAGGCAAGCGCAGGCGGTGTGCTGCAGAGCCCGTGGGTGGGCGCCTCCGTTCCCGGGGGGGGGGGGCAGGGAACGGGGCGAAGCCAGGAGCGCCCGAAAGGAGCCTTGTGAGCAAAAGACCCACAGCCAGCCCAGCCCACGGGGCAACGAGCAGTCCTGTGGTAAGCGGGGTGGCAGAAGGCCCAGGAGCACCCCACCCCGCTGGGTAAAGAACCGAGGAGAAAGGTGCGCTGGTGCGGTGGAGAGAGAGAGGCCGGAGGGGCCCCGGGCGCTGGTCCAGGCGGCCTGGAGGAACCAGCGAGGTGCAGACAATGGTGCCAGCGATCAGCACTGCAGATCCCAGCCGGTGCAGGCACCGGCTGGGGGGCTTTCGAGGGTAAGGCGGCAGCTCCTGCGGCTCTGGCACATTTCCCTGGCCAGGAGCGCGTTCGCACGCAAGGGCCGCCCGACCTTGTGCAGGAGCATGCTGTGGCTCCCGGGCGCACTCCGGTCTCACCAGGGCATCCGTCTGGCTAGCCAAGATGGGCTCCCGAGAGCCACGTCACCTGCTGGAGGGCACCCGGGGCCGTGGTGCAGGCGGGGCCTTTTGCCGGGGCGAGTGTGACTTGGGTGCCCTGCAGCACCCGGCCCGGGGCCCCTGTGCCAGGGCCCAGCTGGCCTCCCGGCGGCAGCAGTGCCCGTGTGCTTCGGGGGAGCCGGCAAGGCAAGGTGACCCGACCCCCGGGCCCGGCAGAGGGCATCGCAAGGCCCTGATGTCACGGGAGGGCCCTGCCGGCCGAGACCGAGAGGACGCCGTGCTCGCCATTTGCCCCACAAAGGGATAAGCAACTTTGACATAACTTTCTCAGGAACGGATAGGGAGGTCCAGCTCGCTTTTCTGGGTGGTGGAAAATGCAGCTCTGCGCCTTTACGGACCTGCGAGCCTTTCTTGTGTGAGATGCATGGCAGGCTGCAGCGCAGCCGCCACAGAGCACGCATGCGGACGGGCCCTCTGCTGCCATCGGCGGGGCCCCGCTGCCCCACAGCGACCGCGTTTGGCCCCGTGGGGAGTGGGGAGGGGGAAGGATGGCTCGGGCTGCTCTCCCACCATGGCTCCTTGCGGCTCCTGCACCTGTCCCAGGCCGAGGAGCAGTGTCCGGACCACCATCTGCCTCTGCCGGCATCGGTGGGGGACACCCTGGCGAGGCACGAGGGAGCCAGCCCAGAGCCGAGTGAGGCCAGGTGCCTCGCGGTTGCCTGCGGAGCCCGCCTGTGGTAGTGCCTGGCGGCTCCCGCAGGCCCATGCCCAGGGCCTGCCCCCTTCGCGCCCCTTGGCGCATGAAATGGGCTGTGCAGAGTGGCTGCGCGCCCTCAGCAAGGAGAGACCCACGGGCCACGAAAGGAGGCCCTTCCTTCCCGGCCCCCACGCCACGCTGCCCTGAGCCCTGCGGACGGGGAAGGCGGAGGCGCGCTCCCCTCTGTGGGCAGTTTGCCCTCTGGCCGGGCGCAGCCTGCCCTGCCCAGGCCCTTTTGCCCTCCGGGTGTGCGGCAAACGGGACCTCAGGAGGGCGGTCTGGGCGCGCCCCTTCTGCGTGGACCGGCCCTCAGCCCGTGCCTGCCCCTCGCCTCCCAGGGCCAGAGGGGGCCTGCGAAGCACGCCACAAGCGCCCCAGACCTACCACAGAACTGTCGGTGAAAATATCCGGGTTGTTCTCATATATGAACTTCTCCACCCGCATCTGGCGCAGCTTGAACATCTTGGAGCCCCGGTTGGTGAGGAGGGAGAGCTCTTCCAGCATGACGTCCCTGGGGATGCTGATCTTCTTCCCCAGGTTCAGCTTGGAGCCTTCTTGCGGCATGGCTGAAAGGACACCGCGAGAGCCGCATCACCCGCCGGCGGCCGAGCTGCCTGCACCGTGCCCCCCGTCCCGCGGCAGCCAGAGCCCCCCAGAGCTCCCCACTGCAGCTTCCCTGGAGAGAGCGCTGGGCCTGCACCCACCGCCCCGCAGAAGGAGCGCAGCAGCCTGGGCGGAGAGGCTTCCAGGAGGGCGCCGGCCTGGAGCGGCAAAGAGCATTCTGCAATGCCCCACCTGGGAGCGCTTTCTCGAGCCGCCCGGAGAGAGTCGGCCGCGGGCGGGCGCACCATGCGCGCCTTCAGACATGCGGGAAATGCCCCGAAGGGACTCGAGAGAGGGAGTCTGCACAGGACGCTTTCTAACCGGCCATTACATACACCAGCTGGGGGGGGGGGCAGGAGGGCGTCATGTTCACAGGGTGCTGGAGGCGCATGGGGATGGAACAGGAGGCTGCCTAGGATGAGGACAATGCAATACCAGAGGGACCCCCTCAGGACTGGCAAGCCACGAGCACAGAGGGCCCCTCCGAGGACCAGCCAGCCAGCCGCACTTCTGAGGCTCGCAGCATCTTCGGTTTAAAGCTGGCCTTCAGGGTCACCCATTGTATGGCAGAGCTTTTGCTCCTTTTGTCCCGACAATACCCTTCCATTCGAGCAGCCTGAGGACGGGGACCTGGGGAGGTGCTCCTGCCTGCACTCCTGCCTAAAGGGAGCTCCCACCACCCCCCGCTCGCCGCCAAGGGGGCTTTTGAGCAGGCTGGCCCCTTTCTGAGCGACAGGAAAGTCCAATGCGGCACCAACGTCCAACTGGAATGTGACATTTAAGAAGTATCCATCAAGGCAAGCTGGAACCCGTAAAGCAAGACATGGAGAGGGAGAGAACTGGAGAGACTCTACTGTTGGGGTGGGATGTAGCGCAAGCAGGAAGGGACTGCCGGGCACTGACCCACCGAGCAATATCAACTGCCATAATTCTAGTCTACGTTCCAGCAGGGTACTGAAGGAGAAGGAATCAAAGCCTTTTATGCAAGTGCTCAAGGCAAATTGCTAACGCACCAGACAAGGTGTGCTGATAGTCCCTGGTGACTAAACGCAAAGTAGGAGACAAAGCAGAATCCCAGGTTCTGGAAGAATTTGGCCTAGGAGTGAGAATGAAGCATGAGCACGACCTGTGCAGTTCCATGAAGCCAGCAATCGCTTTGCCGCAATGCATCCTTCAAGCAACCGCTCAGATGGCTGGGTATGTGGGCATCCCCAGAGAGGAAATAAAGAAATCGAATAGATTACATCATTGGAAGGACAAGATGGAGAAGCTGCGTTCTCACTGCCAGAACAAGACCTGGGCAAATTGTGATTGTGGCCATGAATGCCGCTTAAGATCAAAAATCAGACTACAGCTGATAAAGACCATTCACACATGCATGTGTGGGGGAGGAGGCAGAACACAACATCCTATCAGGATAACATGAAGAGGTGGACGGAATATATACAGAAGAACTGTGCACAGGAGAAAAAAGAGGACAGGCGCCTTTGATGAGGGATCCTATGAGGAAGAACCTGCAATATTAGAAGGCAAAGTGAAAGCTTCTCTGAAAGCCCCAGGAAGGAATAAAGCACCTGGAGCGGCAGGATGCCAACAGAACTATTCCAAGACTGAATTGGCCCGATTCCTAGCCAACAAATATGGAGAACAGAACAATGGCCACAGACTAGGAATGTCTGCTATGCATTCCAATCCGCAAGAACGGAGTTGGAACTGAGTGCAGCCGATTCCTGCACCGACTTCCCAGAGGAGCTCCAGCAGCCAGCAAGTATCTGGGAGATGACCTCGAGGGCCTCTTCCTTTCAAAATCCAACTCCAGCACCAGACCTTTCTCGCACCCTGCAGGACAATGTTCGAGCATCAGTCGCCTGGGAAATTGGCGCCGCCTGCAGACTAACTCGCTGTATCTCGCCCTGCTTCCCTCAGTGCCTTCATTCCATGAAGGGCGTCTGAACCCTGACCTTGCTCACTGCTCTGCTGGCGACTGACGGGTGACGTGGGCGCTATTTCGGAGTGGCCACCGGAGTCTGCGAGGGCTCCTGGAGAGGGCAGGTGCCAAAGGCTGGAGGCGGGCCTGAGCTGTGCCAGCTCTGAGGAGCAGACAAGGGCAGGCCTGCCTCCTGACAGACCAGCCGACTTGAGGGCCACGTCAGGCAAAATCCTCACGCAGGTGACTAAGTGGTTGGTCTGCGAGCACCTGGGAATGATGCTCTACCAGGCACCAGCGCAGATTTGTCAGGAATGGCTGGTGTCTGATGAAGAGCAGCACCCTCCGTGACAGAGCGTGCCTCGGGAATGCCACGGCTATCATTTATCTCGATTTCAGCTCAGCGTTTCGTGAGGCTCCCTGTGCTGCTGCCCTTGTGGACAAGGTGGCGAAGTGCAAGTTGGGAAACAGGGCAGCGAGGCGATGCGCAGCTGGCTCCACAGGCGCACATTCAAGGCTCCGGAGGGAGCGCCTCGTGCAGAGGTTGCGGGGCTCTGCGCTGGCCCCGTGCTGCTCAGCATCTCTACGGACGGCTTGGACGGCGTGCAGAGGAGTCGCTTTACGGTGTGCAGATGGCACCAGGCTGGCAGGGCAGCCAAGACCGGAGAAGGCGGGAGCAAGGTTCAGAAGGAAGAGAGCAGGCTGGAACACTGGCCGGATCGAGAAGCCGTGCATCAGCCACACTAACATGTAAAGTCTTGCGTTAGGCACAAAAAGGCCAAAGGCAGCAGCACCGGGTGGGGGAGGCCAGGCCTGCAGCCGTCCGTCCGTCCGTCCGAGGCCTCTCAGTGCATGGCAGGCTGAATGCAGCCGCGTTGCAGGCCGGAGGGGCGCAGTGGCCACGTCGCGGAGTGCGCAGGGGCCCCTCTAGCCCCCTTGGCCGGGCCCTCTTTGGAGAACGGGGTCTGACTCCAGGCGCCGCCTCCGAAGACCTGACAGGGTTGGAGCATCGCGGGGGGAGAACAACTGGGAAGGTGAGGGGTCTGCAAAAATAAGGACCACTTAAAAGAGCTGCCCCTGGAGAAGAAAAGAGGAAGGGAGGCCCCGGAGGAGTCTCCAAACACCCGTGAGGCTGCTGTGCGGAAAGCGGAGCAGCCAGAGGGCAGGTCGGGGACCATAAGGAGGAGCTTCCTGGCAGAGAGGATGGTCCAGCCCTGAGAGAGGAGGGGGTGTCCCAGGCGTGGTGGGTCCTCCTGGAGGGAAGCCATGGAAGGAGAAGCTGGACAGTCCTCTCTCCGGGGCAGGGCAGGGCAGCTGTGCTCCGCAGCGCAGCGCAGCGCAGCGCAGGGCTGGGACGGATGTTCCCCGCCTGGGCCGCAATGAGCACACCAGTGCTGCCTGCTCCCCGCTCTGTCACCCGCCAAGGAAGCGGCCGGAGGCGCTGCACGTGGCCCGCGTCTGAGAGTGAGGGAGCGAGCGGGGAGGCCCAGGTGAGTCGGAGGTCTTGCTGGGCAGGAGCAAAATGGGCTCACAGGCTGGGACTGCCCCAAAGGACCTGATCCGTAGCTCGGGGGTGGTTCTGGGTCACGCGCAAGGAGTGTGCTCGCCCACACACACTGGGTGCACAACTGTGAGCCCTCCCGAGCTAGTCTGCTTCGGCAACGGCTGTCCGTGGCTCGCTTACATGATAGGGACTGACCGAGTGAGTTCCTTCGTTTGCATGCCGCCTTCCCACCATGCCAGTAGCCCTGGGGCAGCTGGCTTGATTAGACAACGCCAGGGCGCAGCTGGACACACATCAGCCACAGAATACGAAGAGCACCACGCTCCCCAGCAACGCTCCCACGCAGGCAGGGAAGGCCGCCTTTGCTGGGCTGCAGGCCAGTGCGTGCGACCCGGAGGGCTGCATCGCGCTGGCCGTGGGCGTGTGCCTCGCCAGCAGGGGCCTTCTGGGCTTCGCCCAAAGTGTTGGTTTTAACCCTCACGCCTCCAGGTGACAGCACCTGGCGACCCAAGGGACGGCCTGCCTTGCTAGGGGGAGGAGGGAGCCGTAGTCCACCGTGCCCAGGAGGCCCCGGGCTGCGGAAGGGCGCTGGGCACTCGCCTCAAGGGTTGGTGTCAGGGTTGGCACTGCTCGTGGCAGCGGGGCTGCCCGACCCGGCCGCTGGCCAGCGTTTCCTCCACATTTACTTGGTAAGTGCCAGGGAAGGGCCTGGATGGGCTGGCACCACTCCCGGGGGCTGCAGGGGCCCTTGCGCTGCCAAAGCCTGGCGTGGGGATCCGGTGCCGCAGCTGGTTTTTAGGAGCTGCCAACGGAACCAGCAGGCTGGTCCAAGGTCCTTTAGTGCCACAAGGACGACTTGTGCCACCTGACCGGGAAAACCCAGTTCTCTTTCTGTGGCAGGAGGCCAAAGCCAGAGAGCTGCTGCTGCCCCCGCCCGGGGCCAGCTGGGGGCAGCTCTGTGCAACCGGCAAGACGTCCTCCCCCGCCCCCCCCCCCGGCTCCGGCTGGCTTCTGGGGCAGGAGCAGGCCAGCGGCTGGGTGCAGCCCTGCCCCACCGGTCCTCCACCGCCCCCTTTCCCATGCAGGCCAGCGTGAAGGGGCAGCCAGGCGGCAGCATCCAGTCCTGTTCCTGCTCCAGCTTGCCCAAAATGGTCCCAGCAGGCAATGGTTGGGGATGCCGCTCTGGCACGGGGGGTCCGGAAGGGAGTGCCAGGGCCACTCGCATGAAAGGTGCTGGGGGGTGCCTGGCCCCCAGCTATGAGGGCCACGGGTGCCACACGGGGAAGGTGGGGCGGGGCGGGCAGGAGAGGCGGGCGCCCCGCTCTTGCCTCGGCGCCCCGTTCAGCTTACCTTCTTGAGTCAGTTCCAAAATGATCTGAGTGGGCTTCCTCTTCTTGATGGGGCCCGGGGTTCCCGCGAGAGGCATGCTGCACGGGAATGAACAGGCGAGTGAGCGCTCGCTCGCGACCCGGCACCTGCCTTCCGCTCCGCGGCTGGCTGGGAGCCCACCACCCGAGGCAGGGTGCCGCTGCCCTGCACGAGCCGCTGGGCGCGGGTGGGGAGGAGCACCCGTGCAGCCACATCCCACTTCCCTCTCTAGGCACCTTCTCCCTCTACAAGAACCTGAACGGGGCCCCAGAGAGGAGGGCCCAGCACGCTCCTCGCTGGCACCAGAGTGCGGAATACAGAATAACCGGCTGCGGCTGCGCAGCCCGGACTCCGGCTGGACACCGGGAGAAGCTTCCTCACGGTCCGAGCGCAGTGGCAGTGGAGCCGGCTGAGCCTGCGGGCTCCCCACACTGGACGGACAGCCCTCCGAGTGGGAGGGCGCAAGGTGGTGTCCTGCACCAGCGAGGGGCGGCCCCATGGCCTTCTGGCCCTGCCAGCTCTGCCCTTCTGTGATTCTGTGCTTGACCGCATGGCTGTGGGGAGGGGGGCGTGTGGGCGGCCACGGGCCGCTGGCGTGGCGGGGGGCGCAAGCCGCCGCGTGCTCTTCCAGGCAAGGGGGGGGGGTGAGCCAGCGCCACATGCAGCCACAGGAGCGGGGTGCTGCCCAGCGAGCCCCCCCAGCCCGCACCTGAATCCCATGGACCACCATAATGCACGGCTCCTCAGTGCGGTGCAATGAGACACACAGCCCAAAACACTGAAAAGAGGCCACGGCGGCATCGCAGCAAAAAAGGCAAATTGTGGACGTGCCTTTTTCCTTTTAAGACTGGGAGACTATAATGCTACTCGTGAGAAAAGTGGCTGTTGGCTGATTCTGTTACATTTGCCGGTGCCCCTTGCCCTGCTTTCTTGGGAATAGGATCAGAAAGCCCCCCACATGTGTGGCCTGCGTGAAGGGGTCTTCCCGGGCACATGGAGGAGCCCCCGGCCTGCGCCGCACCCCGCATGTCCAGCACCGCAGGCTCCGTGGGGGGGGCCCCACGCATGAGCAGGAGCAGGCCCTCCTGTCCGTTTCGCCTCCTCCTGCTTCCCTCAGCTCTTTCTCTCCCCAGCATGAGCAGCCTCGCGAGTGTCGGCAAATGGTCGTCGAAGTTGCACTGAAATGCGACGTTGCCCATGTGCCACAGCTGGATTCAGCTGTGCAGCGATTGTCAGCATGGGGAGCAGGAGCCCCCCCCCCCCCGCATGCAGCTGCTGAAGGTGAGGAGCCCTCCGAGGACAGTGGGGGCAGCCCTCGCCACGTCACCCCGCCGTGCCTTCTTTGCGGACCTGCCTCCACTTCGGGACCGCAGAGTTCGCTTTCTTCAGCCCTCCAGCAGAAGCACGGAAGCGCCGTCCGCAGGCAGAGTGGGACTCGGCCCGATGACCCACAAGCCATGCAGGCCCGTCTCTATATACAAGTGGCCACCTCTGCCGGAGGTGCTCGCACCCCCCTCGCCTGTCCCTGCACCGTAGACTCCGCGGGGCCACCGCTCGTTCGGGACTGTCCCACACAAGTGTGGGGATGACAGGGCAGGAGCCAAGCCCTGCGTGCTGCAGTCCCGGCATGGGGGCCCTGGGTGCTGGGGGCGCGCTGGGCTGGGAGCCGGGTCCTCACGCATCGGCCCCACGTCCACCGGGCCGCGAGCAAGGAGGCGGCCACCCCAGCCCAGGCCCTTCCGCAGCAGAGCGGCCAAGCTGCACGGTCGTGCGCTGCAGGGCCCCAGTCCGGGCCCGGCCGGGCCTTCCCTCGGTTGTGTGGCGGGACGCGCACAGAGCTGGCCTGGGCCGGTCGCTCTGCTCGCTCAGCAGCCCGTGAGCACACCTGCTTTTCCGCGAATCTCTCAGCCAAAGCCGGGGTGCCAACGCCGGTTCACCTGTTCAGTTTACATGACCAGGAAGTGTAATGCTTCCTTTCGCGCTTGAAAGCAGCTGCCATTTGAGCGAGAAAGGGTCCCGGGTGGGGGGGTGGATTTTGCCAAGGCCGCCTCAGTGTCTAGCCATTTTTTCAGAACTCTTTCCTCGCTCTCCACAAAAATGCAAGGTGCACCATGCTGCGTTGCTCTCCTTCGAACTTGTGGTTGCTGGGAAGGCCCTTCCCTGCCCAGACATTCCCTTGGCTCTGAAGTGACCGAAAATCTACTTTATTTATTTATTTAAAACTTTTATATACCGTCCCCTCATGCCTTGGCATCTCAGGACGGCTTACAACATAGAATTAAAACAATAAAAGTACTAGTTCTTATATTAATAATCAGGTCCTCTGCCCACCACACTGTTCCTAGATGGGAATAGGAGGTATTTTTAGAAAAAACTACCAAACAGCCTAAATTTAGCCCCTGGGTCATCCCTCCGCCATGTCTCGGCGTCGTGGGACCCACACCTCCTCCGTGTGCCCGGCAGCTCTGGCCCCTCCAAGGCTGCCAGACCCCGGAGCACAGGCCAGCTGCAGGGATCTGGAAATCCACAGGAAACTCTTCCAGCCCCCAAGCACTGGGCTTGCTATGTTTTTCTCTGCCCAGAAATCAGACACTCGCCGTGCCACAGGCAGGCTGAGTGGCATGTATTTTATCCCACTGAAATCAAAGCAAGCTCCTGCCCAGATCCTGTGAACCTCATAAACGCTTGATGCAAATGGACACCTCCTTCTACGTCTCAGAATCCCACCGACGCAAAATGGTGCTCCCCATTTGCTGTGCCACTTCTGGCTCAGGGTTCAGCGCCCTGCCCTTCATCCCCGAGGACCACAGAACACTTGAGAGAGCAGACAATTTAATCAGCACCAAGGCAGGTCTCAGTCGTAATCAGTGCAATAAATTGGAATTCTCTAACCTGCTATCGAATGAAGTTGAGCTGTACCAAGCTGGACTGTGGACCTGGGGCAACGTCAAAGTCAGTTTGTTCTTTTCGCAAAAACCAATGTGTAGAAAAACTCTTCCCATTACTTTTGTTTTTATAGATGTAGGAATGGTGGAGATTAGTAGTAGTAGTATCAGAAAGATGAACTAAGAGGGACTTTAACAAGTAGGATCATTTACCCCAGAAAGAAAGAGAAAAGGCAGGGAAATGTTGTTGGACTACGGAGCAAACTTCATAGTTCTTAAAATTAGGATGCTCATATTTCATACTTAGTAGCTGCCCAGGGTGGGAGCCATGCGTATCCCTTCCCTTCTTTTCTCTCCCAGTGTTTGTCCACACACAAATTGGGGAATACATATTCATGTTTGAGAGAATTATTTCAACCAGTCAACATGTTGCCGTCATTTTCTCTTGAAAATCTAAGCTAGGGGCGTCTATACGGGGTTTCTTGAAATGAAACTGCCAGTTGTGTGTCCACAGTTGTGTATAATCATGTGCCAGCATTTCAAGCACAGCCAAACTGGTGGACCCTCCCTGGCAGACGGCACAGGGCAGCATTTAGGCCCTGGGAAGCCGATTGCTCCTTCTATTTAAAGCAGAGCAAAAAATCCGCCCGCTGGACCTCCGAGTTCGGCTGCTTTGCCATCTGTCTTCCAGCGCCTGATTAGAAGTGCAGAATCGCAGGCATTAAATGGAAAGGGTCGGTGACGTGTGGTGATGGCGAATGAGATGTTCTTTCATTATCCTTATCCAAGGGCGGAGAACCACATTATTCTGGCCTCGTACGACAAGCACCCACTGCTGTCACCCATTAATTCCGGATTCAAGCACAGAGTTCAGCCTGGGCCGCAGCGCCTCCCCCCAGGACTGAGCCGTGTTCGCAGTGCTGCAGTTCCGCTGAGAGCAATCTAAGATGCGGCACTCAGCGCTGAGCGAGGCGGATGGCGCCTCCGCCTGAGCACGCGAGGCCCCGGCTCAGCAGAGCATCTTCTGTGTCGCGGATAACGACTGGCTGCCAAGGCTTCCCTTCCAACCAGGGCGCCCAACTGCCACCAGGCTGCCCGTGCCGTGCCAAGCATGCGTCGCAAGTCAGGGTGGCCAGCGTGCCAGAACGGGCCCTGCCCAGAGCCTCCCACGGGGCGCAGGCAGCTGCCGCTCCGCTGGCAGAGAGGCTGCGCTGCACAGCCTGAGCACCGGGAGCGGAGGGGCTGCTGCTGGACTGGAGGCCTGAGCTGGAAAGCCGGGAATGAGGGCGGGAACGTTGTCCCGGGGAGATCCTGAGGAAAGGCTGCGGGAAGGAGCAGCGCTCCCCTGACATTCAGCCATGCCAAGGAAGGGCCAGGGGAGGGGGGCTGGCCGCCTGCCAGAGTGTCCTGGATAGCAACGGAAGCATGACAACACTTTCAGCGCTGGCAGGGAACGCTGGAGCGGCTTGCGCCGACAGAAGCGGGTCTCGGGGGATCTTCGGAACAGTTCTCGCTCCTGTGCGTGGGCTTTCAGAGGGCTGTGGTCCCTCTCGGGCCGGGCAGGGGCTCTGCCTGGCCACGTGGATGGGCTGCTTCGAATGGGGAGTGCATCCGGAGAAGAGGCCGGCCCATGGAGAGCAGCGGCTCCCCAGGCTGGCCTGCTTTCCCGCTCCTCCCAGAAGGCACCCATGGCCCCGCTCGCCCCTTCTCCCATGCTCAGCCTTCCTCCTGCTCGCGACTCCTCTGGGGGAGGACTCACCTCGGGCGCATGGGCCACGTCACGGGGCCTCTGCAGCACGAGCGGCCGGTGTCTGGTGTCCCTCGTCCGGGCGGCACAGAGGCCTGGGCACTCCGGACCCCTGCTACCCCGGGGCCACGCGCTCCCGCCCGAGCTCTGAGCAGCACCGAGCGCTGATGTGGAGTGCTGTGAATTTGACTCTGGGAGGCTCTCAGGCATCCCGAGTTATTAATAGTCCGTGGGATCGCAGCCTCCGGGGTCTCAGATGGCACAGGCAGGCACAGCTAGGGAGGGGGCGGGTGTCCTGCGCACTCCCCCTGCAGGCCGCCACCTTGGCAGGGCCCAGCAGGCCGCCTTGTGCCCCCTCTGCTCCAGCAGGCGCCCACACATCCCATGCGCGGGGGCTCTGGGGAGCGGCAAGGTGTGCGGGCGAGC